CTCTCTCCCTCTCCCGCTCGGTAATTAGCCGAGCATCGATCGCTCAACGACGACGACGACGACGACGAGTCGTCGTTGAATTAACGTCGATGACTCGCAAATATTTACGATACGAGTCGGTAAATCTCGTTCGGCGAGAAATACCTCGTTATCTCGTTCCTCTGTTATTTATTTATTTGTTTATTTATTTATTTATTGACGCAAGCGATTCGCGATACGCGATAAAACATTGTCTTGAAATTAACACGAATAAGAAAATAGCACGAAAATAGTTAATTTGTGAGAAGGAGGGAGGAATCGAATTCGGAATATTTTTATTCGGATAATTATTTATCGATTTTTCATCCTTATTCGATATTTCCTATACATATATTTATGTTTATTTATTTATTTATTTGCATGGTGTTATTGAAAGAGGAAACGCGGAATGAAAGAGAAACGAGAGGCATTCGTTGGAATCTTTCAAGATGATACGGATTCCGGGAGAGTATTCTCTGGCGTCCCCGTAAAATGAGTTTTCCCAGGGAAAATGACAACATCGTCGCGGAGTTTGTCGGTGAAATTCGTTTAAGTCGATGTCGTGCTCGGTCGTCGCCGAGGACGACGTTTCGAGTCTCTGTGCATTTTGGCGCGGAAACACGTATTGCATTTACGTCCGCGTTACAACGACTTTATGCAAGTACGTGCTTCCTCAGACTGTTACGCGGTAATGCGGAAATTCGTTTTGCCCGCTAGAATTGTAGAAGAAGTATCGCCGGCATTAGCTCTTCCCCTCCCCCTCCCCTCCCAATTTATACACGATCGAAATTTACATTTGAAAAATTGGGAAAATTGGCCGTTGAATTGGCCTATTTTCGTTCGTCAACTTGTCAAATTTTCGAAAGTAAAAGAATCGATCGTTCGAATTTTGATCAAATATATACGTATATATATATATATATACTTTTTTTTTAACGCGTTCCATGTATATTTTTAAAAATTGCCATCAATTTGTGATTGATTTTTACGAATGAAGATTCGATTCTTCCTGCAAAACAGATTTGTTTCCCAATTAGCTCGAATAATCACTATTTTAGTATGTATTTTAAAACAAAATGCTCGTTCATTTTGCGATTGCCTGTGTATACATATACGTGCATATCCTTATCGTACATCACGTTTCGATGGCGCGTGTCGAAAGGATTGATCGATTCAAAATGGGTATAATAAAGGGGTTGGATTAATTTGCCCACTCATCGCGCGCTTCATTACAGACCGGTATAACGAGATCTAATTATAATGTAGATCGAAAACTATTAGGCTCGCATTGTATTGCACACGCAGGATATATTGCGCGCGGAGACTTTTCCCCGCGTCTGCCCCACAGGGGAATTTAATTTAAATTCTTTGGAAAACAATGACGTTGCGCGGCACCGTGAAGCGGTCATATAATAAACCGAGTCTGCTTGTGACACTTCTGTTGATGAGTATAATTACCGCGACGCTAAACTCGGACCAGAATTTTCCAAGCCAACCTACCTTCCCGTCCCCATTCGCCCATCCTTTCACCACTCCAATCTGTCCCGTATACGACAAATTTTTGTCACACCCACAGATCTTCTTGCTTGTTGTTTCACTCGACTAATTTCGTCCATCTAGTCTATACGTTGGCTTGTTCGAAAAGTAGTTTCGTTTTTTCACACGAGCGTCGCTAGTCGTACTTTTTATCCAGCCAACTTCACTCTAAACCGTGTTGTACGTTGTATCGGACGTATTGAAAGTTGGCATTTCGTGGTTTATTTGCAAGAAAAATTCGTTTGATTCTGTGCGGTTTGTGTTTTTCGTGTACGTGATAGCAAAGACGCAAGATCGAAAGGAGCATTCTCGGCATATTTTACTTTTTTGTTATCGTAAAGATGAGAATATTGTTCAGGTAAGAAATTCTATTCATGACTTGTGCTATTAGAGACTTTGAATCGACTATTTATTTGCATTCTCTCGAGGAAGGGAATAAATTTGAGAATAATAGAGCCCCTCGAATTATTTTTCGCGTTATTACCGTATCGAGATTGAACGGGATTTACTTTGAGACGAACATTCTCTCGAATATTTCGCTTTCTCGAAATGTATATATACGCGTTGATACGGGATGCTTCTCTCGCAAGTCTCATGGCAAGCAGTGCCACTACGTAGTCCAAATACCGCGTGGCGATAACTTCACGTTTGCGTGTACCATCATTCGTAAAGCGACTGTGAATCTTGCAAATACGACCCCTTTCTAGTAATCGACGACGACAGGAATGGCTATCGTCGCGCGTTTCATTGATTATTGCACGGTACACGTAAACGGTACATTATTACCGCTGTATTTACGATCTTGTAAAGCGAAAAAAATATATATTTAATAATCACGAGGTCGAATTCGAAAAGAGCAAATGGAGGAGATGGATAGTTTCTCTCTCTCTGTTATGTCCAAGTTTCGAAATTTTCTTTCAACTCTTTGGTTGGGAAAAGTTGTTGGCCGAGCAACGACACGACTTCCTTTTCGTCTGGAAATAATTCTGGCTGGCAAAGGATAAAGATATATAAACGAGGAATCGTTCTCTTACCTTTGGAGGGGTAAAAAGAAAGAGAAATTCCGTATTTATAACGGGGGGATACCTTTCTCCCGCCGAGGAGGGCTGGCAAAAAGAATAGGCCAAGCAGAATATCTTTCCTGCCTCTTTATGTCCGGTCGCCGAGATGGAATGGCGGGAGGGGGGCGCCTGCGAAAAACGGGTCGTAAAGGTTTCGGCGCAGCTGGCTCGCATACATTACGCTGGCAGCCTTTATTCCGCGGGAAAGGAAAAATGGAGCGGGTGGGGAGGGAGGGAAGGCGAAAGTTTTTGAAAGATGGCTGGAAATCTAACGGATGGATGGGAAGGGTGGGAGGAGGAGGGCCCTGTTGTATCGGTCGACAAAGAGTGCAACGCCACCTATACCTCGGACGGCCACCGATACCCGTTCGAATTCAACGGGTTTTCCTTCTGACGAGGGAGAGTTCGACTTTGGAGAAAGGATTGGCGAGCGACGATGGGAGAGTAATTGGACGTGACTGGAGAAATTGGAGAGGAACGGACGAGAATGAAGAACGAGTGGCGAGTGAATCAACATTGACGAACGAGGAGGAAATTAAAACATCGATACCAGGAAAAGTTGAAAAGTTATAAATGGATAAATTTTTCGCTTTTGATGAAGTCGAGAAGAGGAAGGAAGGAAGGAAGGAAGGAAGTTTGGTATCGAGGCATCTTCGAGAGCGAATCAGCTTCGTTACATAATTTTCGTGGGAGAAATACATGGTGGCAAAATGGTGGTAATTTGTTCGCGGGAAATCGATTCGGTTCTCCCAAACTGGTGAAAAGTTGCTTACCGCGATTCTTTTCGTATTTTTTCGAGCGTCAGCTATGAATTGCGCGTATGAATTTTGCTTAACACGTTGAAACACGTTTTCCCATTTA